TCCATTTTTGCCTCAAGTATTTTGAGGCTTGGTTGTTAAGCAAATATGATCATGGGTTTTTGCATTTCTAATGGATTATTATATATTTCACTTGAATGTGAGGTAGTTAACCATTTGATTCCACTTACAGGCAATGATAATTTACATTAAGATGGGAAAGTTTTTCTGTAAAGGACCAGATAGTATTTTAGGTTTGCAGAGCCATATGATCTGTGCTGCATCTAGTCAAAAACAGCCATAGACAATACATAAACGAGTGAGCATGGCTGTACTGAAGTATCCTCTCAACAATATTTTCTTTATAAACTGTGACTGCTATAACAGAAATGACAGAAACCATTACAAATTTTTTTTGTAGAAACTTCTGTAAACAGGTCAATAAAAGCACTTACCAAGGATACAGAAATAGTTGAGTTCTATAGAATATTTATCAAACAGAAGCTTGTGGAGTAATTGTATGAGTAATGGAAATTTAACTCACTTAACTGCCCTAACCTTTCGTTCCACTGAGAGCATCTGACATTATCTCGTATCCTACCTGTCACTTCATACATTTGTGAGCTCTCTCCTTATTCATCTGTCTCACCCTTAACACCCAGCAAAAGACCATACATAAAAGAGTAGATAAAAATGTTTTCAATGAGGGAGTCACAAATCAAGTAGCTTGTGAACCAGGCAAGTGATGGCTTGTGAGGCCATCATCTTTTTTCTTTTCTTTTTAACTGCATTTGAGTATCTTCAGGCAGGGCATTCATTCTCCAGTCCACCAGATTCTACTGCTTCCTATTATAGCATGCTATTTCAGCATTTGTTTTTGCCTCTTGGCCAATACGGAGGCATTTTAATTTGTGCTCCAGATATTAAATAAAAGGAAAAAAGTTACATATTGCAAATAAGTATCTGTAGGCTATGATCTGCTCCTCTTTATTACTGAATGAAACCTCTTCTATCTATTAGTGATATTTCAGTGTGTACTTTAATGAAATTGTCTTTTTTTTTTTTTTTTAATGTTCTATTCCCTGGGATTATATTCACATTTCAGTGTAGAATGAAATGCACTTTCTGTATTTTCAAGTTTCATGCAGTGAGCATGAATTATATTTATAATTAGGAAAGACATTATTTGTAGGGAAAAACCTTTTCATAAATTCAAAGTGAGAGTTCTTCCTGCTCCCTAAATTTGGGACAAGGAGAGAAAATGAGCATTGAGCGCTAACTCTGTCCCACGGACACTGCCTGATGCTTAACACTTAATCATCAAAACCTTGTGGGGGAGGGGTATGGAAAACCCTCATTTTTGAGATACTGAATAGAGCAATTGTTGTTGTTGTTGCTATGTGGCATCCAGTCGGACCCAACTCATAGTGACCCCTCCTTGGGTTTCCGAGGCAGTATTACTACAGAAGTAAATTGCCCCATCTTCCTTCCAAGAAGTGGCTCAGTTTTATTTTTTAAAAAATCTTAGTACTAAAATCCCCAGGACACAAGGGCAGAGAAATCTGGAGAAAAGAGGGGAAGAAAGAACAGGAGAAAACCTTCAAGAGAATTGAAGGCAAGTGAAAGAAGGAAAAGAAAATGGAGGATATAAGCATAGAAAACGATCATTTATTCATGCATTCATCAAATATTTAGTGCCAACCATGTGAAGACACTTTGCTGGAGACCATGGGGCATACACAGATGAGTCTCATTCAGATCAAAAGATATACATATGACAGTCCTTCTATACATATCCAACTTAATATCCTGCATTAACAGAACATAACAAATCCAGGAGGTAACACCTGCCAACAACTAAAACTAAAATGGAAAATAATAGTACTCTGAAAGGCATAGAGTAGCTGTAAAACGAGTTGAGAGAAAGAAGGAATTACATACTCCAGCTGGAGGGATGAAGGGGACAGGTATTTGAAGGAAGAGAGGTTGCTTACACCAGGCAAAGGATCCCAACCCCTCCCCTGCATGCCAGGCCTGTACTTGCAACTGCTTCCTGGCCAACCTTCCCAAGGTACCCTGAAGGGCCCTCAAACTGTGTTGCCAACCAAATATGTCACACATCACCTTCTCCTCTTGTGTTCCTTGCCTCAGTTAATATGTTTATTATCCATTTACAAGTTGGTTTATTCAACAAATGTTCAATGAGTGCCTGCTTTGTGCTGTAGCCAAGTCTAGTGAAAGAGACATTAAGCAAGTAAATACAAAACTATAAAAGTACAGGAATGTGAAGAAAAATGGTACTTGTGAGAGAATAATGGGAGAGGGTGTTTAGATTGGGTTTTCAAGAAAGACCTCTCCAGAAATGGGAAGAGAGCTGTTACATTGTAGGGAATTGCAGTTAATGTTGTGAAACAAAATGTGTATGAACTGCTGTATGGAAAATGTATTTGCTCTGTAAACTTTCCCCCAAATCACAATAAAAATTTTAAAAAGTTAAAAAAAAAAAAAGAAAAAGAAAAGGAGAAAGAAAGAAAGACCTCAGAAGAAATTACTTAAGCTGAGAACCAAAGGATGGGAGGGAGCGAGGAAGGTTCATGGTTGAAGCAGAGAAAACAGCCTTGGCCTTGGAAAAAAAAAAAAAAAACAAGGCAGGAAATGACTTACAAATTAAAATTAGAATGGGAAAAAAGCACTTGTAACTAAAGCAAGGAAAAGAGAGGGCCAGTGTGGGGGGAAATGAAGGCAGAGAGGGAACCAGGGTCAAATCACACAGGGCTTTGTAGGTCCTGTTCAAATTCTGGAACTGCACTTTAAATGCAATGAAGCCACCAAAGAGGAAATAGCAATGAAAACACGTGCTGCTTCTGCTCTCCTGGGGCATACAGCCTAATAGGGGGATACAGGCAATTAAACAGTAGATTCCAATCCCATGTTCAAATCTTAGGAGAGAGGAAGTATAGAGTACTTGGAGAACACTTACGAGGGACACTTAATCCATTCTGAAAGAGATATGTAAGGTAGAAAACAAACAAACCCAAACCAGTTGCCATCAAGTTGATTGCAGCTCATGGTGACCCCATGTGTTGCAGAGCAGAACTGTGTTCCACAGGGTTTTCAAAGCTGTGGCCTGTGAGAAACAGAGCACAGGCTTTTCTTCCAAGGTACCTCTAAACCCAAAACCAATCTCACTGCCGTCGAGTTGGATCTGACTCATACAACCCCTCCTTGCGTTTCCGAAGCAGTATCACTACAGAAGTAGATTGCCCAGTCTTCCTTCCAAGGAGTGGCTGGTGGGTTTGAACCGCCAGCCTTCTGGTTAGCTGTCAGGTGCCTTAGGTACTATGCTACCAGAGCTTCTAAGGTACCTCTGGGTGGGTCCAAAAGGCCAACTTTTCAGTTAGTATTCAAGTGCTTAACTGTTTGCACCACCTTTGGCCTCCTCTGTGAGAGGGGTAAGAGAAGGCCTCCTGAAGGAAGTGACACTTAATCTAAGACCTGAAGGATAAAGAAAAGTTATACAGGTGACGTGGAGAGGGAAGGGTGTTCCAGGAAGAGGGTACAGTGTGGGCAAAAGCCTTGCGGTGATAAGAACAGGACACAGTGAAAGAGTTGAATATTCAGTGAGACAAAGGCATAGAATAGGTGAGAGATGGGATGAGGCCAGAGTGGTAACCAGTGGCCCATCATGAAGAGCCTAGTTCATGTATTTAGCATTACTCCTGAGAGCAGTCAGGAGCTGGGAGAAGACAGAGAAGTCATTCTTGATTCTGGCTTTTCCTTTGCTCTTCAGGTCCCAATGATATCCTCTCTCAAGTGTTTCTCCTGTTTCCTGAGCCACTGTTTTAATTCAAGCCCCATCACTCTGCACTTGGACCCCTGAAATAGCTTCTTAATTGGTCATGCAGCCTTTAGTGTCTCCCCTCTAATATATCTTCCATACTGCTGCCTGTTATCTTTCCTAACACAAATAAGAGCATGTCAGTCTTCACCCCAAAACCAGTTATGACTGCCCAGAGGATAAATTCCAAACTCCCTAACCTTGATCCCGACCGCTGTTTGGCCCTAACCTTTGTCTTCGTGGTTTAAACTCCTATCACTACTATCACAATGATTTTCAAACTTTTTGGACTCAATGCAAAATAAGAAATCCACCTTATCAGTGCACACACATGTATCCACACAAAACACTAAAACAAGTTACAAGAAACAATTCAAGTAGAATGGACTCTGTCTGATACTTTCTATTCTATGTTTGTTTGAAATGCTGGTTGTGACTTATTTACAACCTGCTAATAAGTCCTGTCCTGCATTTGTGAAAATCACTGACTGCTCTTTTCACTATCTTCTCTACTCAGATCTGGATAAACTCTGTTCTTTTACCCTTCGCCCAAGCCGTCCTGGATGCCAGGAATGCTCTTCATTGTTTGTTCATTGAGCAAGTTCCTACTGATTTTTCAAGACAGTGCAAATGTTACTTTCTGAGAAACCTTTCTAGATAATGTCACCCTGCTTCCATTCTCAGAGGTCCCAGGGCTTAATACACCCTAAGGGACAGCACTTGTCATTAACAGTATATTATAAACACTTAAAAAAAAAGTCATCAGTTGGCTCTGGACTAGGTTTCTGGAAGGCAGTAAACTGTCTTATCTCAGGCCCAAAATAAGTCTAATATGAAGCAGAAGTCAGGGGATGTTTTGCTGAATAAAAGAAAAACCATCCCATCACATTTCCTGTACTTATCGTTATGTCATTTATCACTTTCTCAAATTATCTTATATTGTTTTGCCTTATTTGTTTACTTATCTGTCTCCTCCATTAGTATGTTGGCTCTTTGAAGGTCCTAATCTACCGAGTTCTCCTCAGTAACTTTAGCACTTACAGCAGGGCAAAACCAAACATTTGGTGATGGATGAATAAGTGGGTGAGAAGGCAGAGGAGCCACATTATGGAGCCTCTGAGAGTTGGAGGGCTGGGCTAACCAATGCAAGGCACTCAGGCCAAGACCCGTGATTGGGAGGGAGATTGGGAGTTAAGGTTCCCAGGTGCCACGTTCCAGGGCCTACCAGTAGTAAGTGACTGTGCAGGCCGTGCACACCCGCTCCGCCGGAGCTTCGCACACCTCACAGCAGAGCCGGCGCCCCTTAGGCACCGCCAGTGGGTAGATGACGTTCATGTTGCAGCCAGCGGTGTCAGTCTCTACGACGGTTGCCCCGCGAGGATCCGCGGGACCCTGGCCTCACGTGACGACCCCAGGGCAGCTTCGTTCTAGTGTTTCACCAAGAGAGTATCGTAGCTGAACTGACTGGCGTCTACTTCTGAGGTTAAAACACCTCTCGCCCTCCCAAAAGTTAGTTGGGCAGTACGTAGCCAGTAAAGGATCAAATATGACCAGTTTTTTTTTCCCCCAAGTAGGAAACTAACATTTCCAGGTGCCCGCCCAGTCGAGAATTCCCTTCAGCAAAATGTCACCGTCGCTAGGCTCTGTGGCCGCAATAACACGCGTTTCCAGATTTGGAGAGATCCGTAGTCAAGGTAAAGAATGGGGAAGAGAAACGCCCACTCACGATTGCGGCTGCGCATAAACGAGTATGTGAGCAGGGGGCGTGGCGCCGGTGGGCCGGGACCGTGCGCAGCCTCTCCGAAGTGCTTCTGGATTAATGGCGGAAGTGGACCTAGCCTCCGAGTTCCCTCAGCCGGCTGGTGCTTCGCGCTGGGCCGAGGTTATGGTTCGCTTCGCGGCCAGGCTAGGCGCACAGGGCCGGCGGGTGGTGTTGGTCACTTCAGGTGGCACAAAGGTCCCACTGGAAGCACGACCAGTGCGTTTCCTAGACAACTTCAGCAGTGGGCGGCGCGGTGCAACCTCGGCCGAGGCCTTCCTGGCTGCGGGATACGGGGTTCTGTTCTTATATCGCGCTCGCTCCGCTTTCCCCTTTGCACACCGCTTCCCGCCCCAGACCTGGCTGTCGGCCCTACGGCCCTCTGGCTCAGGCCGTTCAGGTCTGCTATGCCTGGAGGCCGAGGAGAAGACGCTCCCGGGCTTCGCTGCAGCCTTGCGAAACTACCAGGAAGCTGCGGTTGCCGGCACTTTCCTCGCGGTAGAGTTCACTACTTTGGCGGACTATTTGCATCTGCTTCAGGCTGCGGCCCAGGCCCTCAATCCGCTAGGTGCGTGACCTAGAAGTCCACAGGTTGCCTGGAGGCGGAGACTTTCTTCCCAGCCACTTACCACCTACACCCTGATTAACACAGATCTCAGCCGGGAAACTCAAGGAGCTGATCACATATCTCTCCCCGATTTGTTATACCTTGTGCTTCTCTTTGCAGGCGCTTCTGCGATGTTCTACCTGGCTGCGGCCGTGTCAGATTTCTATGTTCCTGTCTCTGAAATGCCTGAACACAAGATCCAGTCATCTGGGGGCCCATTGCAGGTGATAGGCTTGGGTTAATTTCCTCTTGACCTGGAAATGGCCTTTCTGCTAAACACTGGGGTTACAGAGATGACTGCCACCTTCCTTCAAGGGCCTGGCAGTCTAGTGAGAGAGCTGGATACAGACAATTACAGTTAAGAGTGATTAATGCTCTAGTAGGAACTCTGGTAGCATTTGAATGTTAACCAGAAGGCTGGTGGTTCAAACCCCCTAGCCACTCCTTGGAAGGAAGGTTGGCCAATCTACTTCCATAGTGATCCTGCCTCGGAAACCCAAGGCGGGATTGCTATGAGTCCCATCTGGACTGGAGGGCACATAACAACACCACAACAGTGCTCTAGTGGTGTAGTGCCTAAGGCATTTGACTGGTACCCAGAAGGCTAGCGATTCAAACCCACCAGCGGCTTCTCGAAAGGAAGATTGGACAATCTCCTTCCGTAGAGATAACCGCTTCGGAAACCCAAAGAGGGGTGGCTACGAGTGGAATGGACTCAAGGCAGTGAATTTGGTTTTACTGTTCTAGTAGAGGTATGAACAAAGTGCAGTCAGGCCACAGGTGAATGAATCATTATCTCTTGGGGGAGTTGGGGGAGTCAAATAAGACATCCTATAGGAGGTGACACCTGACCTGGGCCATAAAAGATTAGCAGAAGGGTTGCCAGACAAAGTGGGAAAGGTCATTCCAGGTAGAGTACCTGAATAGTTTGCATAGGTGGTTTGGTAAGGCTCAAGAAGGAGCCCTGGTGGCTCAATGATTGAGCACTCAGCTGCTAACCAAAAAGTTGGCAATTCATACCCAATCTGTCAATCTGCTTCTTTAAAGATTACAGACTAGAAAACCCTATGGAGAAGTTCTGCTTTGTTTTATGGAGTCACTGGGAGTCTCAATGGTCTCTAGGGTACCTAACACCATCACCACAGGGCTGGAGAGCAAGGAGAGTGGTGGGGGTGGAAGGACTGGGGAGATAACTTACTTCATGGAAGATTTCATATTCGGTGTAATGAGGCTTGGACTTTATCCCTTGGACCCACCAAAAAAAAAAAGAAAAAGAAAAGGAGCTCTGTTGGCATAGCACCTAAGGCATTTCACTACTAACCAGAAGGCTGGCAGTTCAAACCCACCAGCCACTCCTCGGAAGGAAGATTGGGCAGTCTACTTCCATAGTGATACTGCCTCAGAAACCTAAGGAGGAGGTCGCACAGGACGCATAAGTAGGTGATTGAGATAAAAATTCTTATTTGAGAAGTACAGTATGGCATCAGTATGAAAGGTAGATTAGAGAGAGAGAATGGAGGGTGTAGACTTGTTGGAGACTATTGCTATAGTTTAAGGAAGGGGTATGAGGAGAGTTCCTGATAGTGTGGCTGAGATGATTTAACATCTTGGAATCTGAGGGAAGTCTTAGGTGTTAGTGGATAATACAAATAGAATTCAAATAGAAGAAATTTTACCTATGGGGTACTTGCTGACTAAGATAGTTTATTTATTCATTTCTTTCAGCATATGTTTATTGAGCACCTACTATATTCCTGGTGCTTCTGTAGGACCTGGAGATACAGCAGTGAAAAGAAACATACCTTGCCTTTGGATTGCTTATGTTCTACAGGAAAGACAGTAAATAAATAAATTAAATGCAAACTGTGTTAGGTAGTGATAAATGCTGAAGAGAAAAAAACAAAGCAGAGAAGGGGTATATGATCACAATCACACTTGCTAACAACTTTTTGAGGGACAATCCTGATGATTAGCTTAGATGATTAAATTCTGGGAACTTTAGTTTACCACCGATTTTTTAGTTCTATTTTGAAAGGACATAAAACAACTCAGCATTCCCTTAGAAGGATCTGGAAATGGAGTAGTAGGAGTTTTGATCAAGTGAAAAATAAAATCAGTTTCTTCAGTGCTAAGTTGTGTTAAAGTGATAATTTGAAAATGGAAGCAAATAGGCATTCTACCAATGCAAGAAATATTTTAGATTTGAGAAGCTTAAAAACACAACTTTATTTGAACTTCTGCCCCACATCTCTTTATATGAACAGATCATTTGCACTTACTTATTTGAGCGCTTGCTTTAAAGAATAGGGAGGAACGTTTGAGAAAATATAATGTTCTTTAGAGATACATGGGTGCTCTGGTAGCATAGTGCCTAAGGCATCTGACTGTTAACCAGAACACTGGTAGTTCAAACCCACCAGCCACTCCTCGGAAGGAAGGTTGGGCTATCTGCTTCCGTAGTGATACTGCCTCGGAAACCCAAGGAGGGGTTGCTGTGAGTCGGGTCCAACCTGACGGCAGTGGGTTTGGTTTTGGTTTTTTTAGAGATAATATTAATGATGTTGAGCAGAAGGCTAATACAGAAGACATAGTTTGCTCCAGAATATGTATGAAGCCTGGGGATTAGGCTTCTGGACCTTAACAGTACCAAGGTTTTTAAGCTAAGCATTTAATATGCTTTGAAGTATGACAGTGCTCCCAAAAATTAATATGACAGTCTATATAAAAATCTAAATCCCCACTTCTTTAATTTCTCATGAGATTGACCTGGTAGACAGTGACCTTTGTTTACTTATTAAGCTTTTCTTTTTCCAATACAGATAACAATGAAGATGGTGCCAAAAATGCTATCGCCTTTGGTTAAAGACTGGGCTCCCAAAGCATTTATAGTTTCCTTTAAGTTGGAGACTGACCCCTCCATTGTAATTGATCGTGCACATAATGCTCTGGAAGTTTATCGACATCAAGTGGTGGTGGCCAATATTCTTGAATCACGACGGTCCTTTGTGGTTATTGTAACCAAAGACTCGGAAACCAAGCTAATGCTTTCAGAGGAAGAAGTAGAGAAAGGTGTAGAAATAGAAGAGAAGATAGTAAGTAATCTTCAGTCTCGACACACAGCTTTTATATGTGACAAAAACTGAAGTAAAAAGCCTTTTTTGGATCAGAAATTGTTCAGTGGACCAGGGCTCTTACAGAGCATAATGGTGAGAACTAGAATGAATCCTTTCCTTTATAAGGCCAGAGAAAATGAAGATAAAGGAAAGAGCAGTAGTGTGCAGGAGAATAGACTTTTGTATTTGTCTTTTAAAGGTCATTTAATACTCATTGCAAATGGAAACAAAGGGAATGCAATTATGACCAAACCACCTGACACAATCATCTGAATGTCATCTTGATTTTGAAAATGAATATAAGAGCTATTTCTTACCTTTGAAAAAAAAGAGCTTATTCGGAATTACATTCAATCCCTCAAAGTACACATGAGAGCCTAAATATCAGCCTTCCTCATACAATGAAAAAAAGGATTATGGATCCATGAATGGTCATGTTTCGAAGATTGTTGAGTGCCTACTATGTGCCAGGCCCTGTGTTAAGATTTGAGGATTAAAAAGATGGATAAACATGTCTAGTTTGGGAAATGGATGCATAAACAATTGAGTGCAATAAAGTACCCAAAAGTGGACACATGGAAAGGGTGTTGTTTTTTCGGAAATTAAGGGTGGGAATAGGGAGAAAAGGACACTTCTGAAGATAGATTGTGGAAGGGTGAGCTTCCTACTAAGTTTGCTTTTTGTGTCTTGTCCATAGATTGATCCCCATATTTGAATAGCAGTTTACTTAAATATTTTAATGTTGTTCTTCAGATAAATTTAGTCTTCCAGCTTCCAGGCAGGCAGGGGCCAGTTGGTGGCATCTGCCCTGAGGGAGGCATTACAGTGTGGGGAAGAGAATGGGCTTTGGAGCAGAACTTTGAACTGGTTCTGTGGTTCAGTCACAGCCAGTGAAGCCAAACCAGAAGGGACCAGAATTTGTAAAATGTATGAACTTAATATTCCTTTTAGAAAACAAGTTAGTGTGTGCATATTGCATAGCAGCCAAATCTCTTGACTGGCAGAGGCAGCAACAATGGTGCTCCATTCAAAGATGGCCACCAATCACACTGCTTTGAATGTATGTCACTCTCCATAGTCTTGCCAGTAATTCAGTCTGCATCAGGCTTCTGAAAGGGCTCACTACTTTTCTTCTGAGATTCCCATTCCAGGGCTTTGACCTATAATTTTTTCCAATTATCAGTCTACTTCACTCAAAATTTTAAAATTTGAGCCTGTTCTGATTTTGCTACCTTGTCCATCTCTGAACCAGTTTGAACTACTGGTTCAGCGCCCTGCTTTAGAGTGATCTTAATCAGGTTTGAACTCCAGCTGTGCTATTAGCTTTGTAAACTTAGATCCCAAGACTTAGTGTTTCCTCATCTATAATGGCAAATAAGGACATTTGTTGTGAGGATTATATAAAACTGAAGATAAAGCATTGGTCTTGTGCTGGCATATAATTCACACTCCAGTGGTTGCATTATTGTTTTTCTCACTTAAGCAAGGCAACATTGGATCAGTGTATTGCTTGCTTCCTGATCCTTGAGAAACTTCTAAAGGACCTTTCACACTTCTGGATTTTGGGCTGAGCAGGCACAAGAAGCGTGTTGTTAGGTGCCATTGAGTTGGCTCCAACTCAGTGACCCCAGTGTACAACAGAATGAATGGTTGTGTACCATCCACACAAATCCTTGCTGTAGTTGAGCCCATCCTTGCAGCACATGTCAATCCATCTTGTTGAGATTCTTCCCCTTTTCCCTGACCCTCTACTTTGTTGTTAGGTACCATCAAGTCGGCTCCAACTCATAACGACCCTATGTACAACATAACCCTCTACATGGGAAGGAAGGTCAGGCAATCTACTTCTATAGAGATACTGCCTCAGAAACCCAAAGAGGGGTTGCTATGAGTCGGATCTGACTCGATGGCAGTGAGTGTGAGTTGCCACGCACGATAGCCTTCTCTAGGGAATGATCCTTTCTGACAAAATGACCGAAATAGGTGAGATGAAGTCTGGCCATTCTTGCTTCTAAGGAGCATTCTGGCTACACTTCCAGGACAGATTTATTTGTTCTGGCAGTTCACGATATTTTCAGCATTCTAAGCCAACACCACAATTCAAAAGCATCAACTCTTCAATCTTCTTTACTCCTTGTCCAGCTTTCACACACATGTGAAGTGATTAAAAACAACCCTGGCTTGGGTTAGGCATACCTTAGTCTGCAAAGTGACATTTGCTCTTCAACACTTTAAAGAGGTCTTTTGCAGCAGATTTGCCCATTGCAATACATCTGATTTCTTGATTGCTGCTTCCATGGGTGTTGATTGTGGATCCAAGTAAAATGAAATCTTTGACAACTTTAAACATTTCTACATTTATCTTGATGCTGCTTATTGGTCCAGTTGTGAGGATTTTCATTTTCTTTATGTTGAAGTGTATTCCATGTTGCAGAGTGTAGCCTTTGACCATCATCAGTGAATGCTTCAAGTTATGTTGACTCTCAGCAAGAAAGGTTGTGTCATCTGCATATCACAGGTTGATAATGAGTCTTCCTCCCATCCTGATGCCGCATTCTTCTACATAGAGTCCAGCTTCTCAGATTATTTGTCGGCATACAGATTGAGTAAGTATGGTGAAAGGATACAACCCTGACCCACACCCTTCCTGAGTTTAAAGCATGCAGTATCCCCTTGTTCTCTTTGAACGACTGCCTCTTGGTCTATGTTCAGGGCCCTCATGAGAACAAGTAAGTGTTCTGGAATTCCCATTCTCAGTGTTACACATAATTTGTTATGATCCACACAGTCAAATGCCTTTGGATAATCAAAACACAGGTAAACAACCTTCTGGTATTTTTTGTTTTCATCTAATATCCATCTGACATCAGCAATGATACCCTCTCTTTCCACGTCCTCTTCTGAATCTAGCTTTAATTTCTGGCAGTTCACTGTGAATATACTACTACTGCAACTGATTTTGAATTATCTTCAGCAAATTTTACTTGGATGTGATGTTAATGCTATTGTTTGATAATTTCCACATTCTTTTGGATCACCTTTCTTTGGAATGGGCACAAAGATACACTCTTAAAGTCAGTCGGCGAAGTAGCTGTCTTCCAGATTTCTTGGCATAAGGGAGCTTTCTGCGGAACTTAAATGAGACCAAGCAATGCAAGAATGTGTAAGGGACACCAGCAAAGCAAGGACTCTCAAACAGGTGCAAAATCAAGCTTTCATGAACTAGCTCAGAATCTTGCAGTAAAAACAACTGAAATGAAGATGTTATCGATTTAGCTTGTTTATATTTTGTGTCATTTAGATGATTTTTTTTTTTTCATTATATGGGGAATTTTGTGTTGCTGTTATGTATCATCGAGTCAGACCCGACTCATAGGGATCCCTCCTTGGGTTTCCGAAGCGGTATCACTACGGCAGTAGATTGCCCACCCTTCCTTCCCAGGAGTGGCTGGTGGGTTTGAACAGCCAGCCTTCTGGTTAGCAGTCAAGTGCCTTAGGCACTAGGCTACCAGAGCTCCCATATGGGGAATTGGGGTATGTGATTCACTCAAACCGAATTTCTAATTCTTGTGACTTCTAAAACTTGGGGATAAAACTCACTGCCATTGAGTCAATTCTTCCTCAGAGTGGCTGGCTGGTGGATTTAAACCACAGACTTTGCCATTAGCCCCTAAATGCCTTTACCACTACACCACCATAGCTCCTTTCAAATTCAGAGATAATTCTAGTTTAGTTCTGTGTCTTCATTTTTACAAACAGGCCTACTCCAAAAATGTGATTTATCATAGGTGTCCCAGATAGGTCGTGATAGATCTAGGACTAAAATTCGGAATTCCTGTTCTAGAGCCCCTTTTATCAGGCAGTCTCATGAAATTAGTATGACACTACGTCTAGAAAAATAAATCCATGGTCGGAATCCATGGTCGGGGGTTAGGTAAAAAGCTATGTGAGAATTATGACGCCCTGTGATTTAAAAACGTATCCTTAGCGATGCAAGCGCTTCACAGATAATTTCTTTCAGCGTGCTCTATCGTTACCCTGGTTACTGCCGGACGTGGGCTGTCTGATCTCCAAAGCCAATGGAAGGAGCCTTAGTACGGTTACTGCCGGAAGGGCTCCGTCCCACGATCCAAAGGCCAATGGTACGAATTGTAACAGTATTCTCCACAGGAAGAACAAACCTTAACGCCAATGATGTGCGTCGTGACTATGATTCCCACCGGAAGGACGTCTGTGCGTCCCTGAGGCAAAAGTGGTTGCTATGACGCTCGGGATTGGTAGGCACCTGCTGTTCGCAGCTAAGAAGCGGTGGAGTGGAGCGACCCAGGGACCCTCACAGCAAACTCGGAAAGATTTCCGGCCTGGTTTCTGAGGCTCCTGCTTCAGCTCGGAGGAGGAGAAGCACTTATTCCCCTCTCTTCAGCATTCTAGATTTTGTTTCCCGCTTATCTCCCCAGTATGGCCCGAAACTGTAGGAGAACCCCTCCTGGCTTGTCCTTTCTGTCCTCGGACTGGAGTGATTCTGCCTGAAGAGGAAATCGCCCTGGTTTCCCCGAATCCATCTGCTACAGTATTTATTATTAGGTTGCAGCTCTTATTTGTAACGGCCTTATAAGGCCCACAGTAAGGTAGGTAGGTGGTCCTTTGCTCACTTTACCAGTGAAGAGACTTAACCCCAGGACAAACGGCTGAGCCCTGGAAGTACAGGCCACTACAACGTCCACGGAGGCACGGTTTTCCCCTGGTGGTAAAACCAGTGAACAAAACTGCTTTTTTGGTTGATGTTCGTCATGCGGAACCTTGATTTCCCCGTGAAGTTGTGGAGGCCTTTCGTATCTTCAACATCAGATGTCAAGTCAGTTACTTTCTGCCTTTCAAACCACAACCTCATTCACTTCTCTCATCCTATGCTCCAGTTTCCTCGACCTTCTCATTCCACAGCCATTATCACCCTTTCCTGTCCACGCTACACATTATTGATTGTTCGTTTGTCTCCACCCCTGTCATCTCTAGACCACCTCTGCCTTCCT